ACAGAGTTTATTACATAAAGGTTTAATTGCAATTTTGATCCTCCTACTTTTATTATTTTTTAGTTTTGATCTCCCTATTTAAAATCCGAAATTTTTGTCCCTCTAATTTTCAATTTTTTTTAGTTTTGGTTCCTCTATTTTAAAATCCAAAATTTTTGTCCATTTATTTTCATTTTTTTTATAGTTTTGGTCCCTTTATTTTTATTTTTTTAACTTTTAATTCTCATATTAAATTAGTTTTAAATTGAAAAGAGGACTAAAATCTAAATAAAACTTAAAATAGGGGATCAAAACTAAAAAAATAAAAATAGAGGCACTGAAATTTTGCATTTTGAAATAGGAGGACAAAAACAAAAACAAAAAAAACAAAAAAAAATGAACAAAAAATCCGTATTTTAAAATAGAAGGATTAAAATTCATAGAAAATAAAAATAGAGGGACTAAAATTGAAATTAAACCTTACATAAATAAGTTAAATTAAAATTAAAATTTAAATTAAATAAAAATATCTATTAATATTTTAAGATGTAAGTAATAAAAGAGACAACCAGATACTTATTGGTTTTGACGCTTCTAATATAAAAAAATAATAATAACAACATAAACTTATTAAAAATGATCTCAAAAACGAAGTTACACAAATATGGTTCCATCGCCGATGTTTATCCCCGACAATCTCATCGGCGAGATCTTCTCCTCTCTTCCCGTGAAATCATTTCTTCGATTCAAATGTGTTAGCAAGTATTGCGATAACCTTGTTTCCGATCCCGATTTTGTAAAATTTCATCTCAAGAGATCACCAACCGTAAATTCGCATTTCATACTAAAGACCGATCACAGCATAAAAATCTTATGTGAGTCCCCCTATGGCAATGACGATGAATATGACGTGGATGAAGCTTTCATTCCCTACTCTGTGAGTAGTTTGATCAAGAATCCCTCTTTCTCCGTTGAAGTCGATCCTTACTACATGGTGAAAAACTATGAATACTGTTTAGTTGGTTCCTGCAATGGATTGGTTGAATTGGAACATGATGTTGGACGAATTGGTTGACCTGAATGAAGAAAGGCGTAATGTAATGCCTTTGAATTGCTAAGAAGGCATAAAATAAGTGTAGAGAAATCGTATAACAAGAAGGTTAAGGTGAAATTGTTTTTTCCAGAGGAATTGTTTTGGAAAGTAATTTCGCCTATGGATCGAAAAGATAGAGCCTTGGGTAAGTGGTCCCCTAAATGGAAAGGACATTTTTAAGTTATACAGGTCTTTTCTAATGGCGCATATGAGATTGGAGAATTAGATAAAAATCAAAGAATCTTGAAGGTAAATGGGAAATATTTGAAAAAATATAAGCCTGCACTTTGAGAGGTAAAGATAACTAAAGAATAATCATGCAAGAAAAATAAAGTTAAGATGGTAAATAAATGTGCCAAAATGGCTTAATGTCATTACATAAAAGGCCACAAAGGGCCAAAAGTCGTGATTTGCAAAAGAAGAAAAAATGCTACAGATTAATTTTAGAAGGGGAGAGAGCCCTTCATCCTTTCATACTTCGACCTTTGAAGCATCAGGCGGTGTTCGCAAAGTGTCTTGTGGGTTGAAAGAATTTTAATGTCTTTCCCAAGTTGTTAAGCCTTTTCAAGATGTTGAAGGCCAGCTTGGATCTCTTTCGCCACTTCATCTTCGACAGAGCTGAGCAGATTGGTCTTGCGTTTCTTGGCCTGAGAGATTTTTTTTTGTTGCAAAACAACAATATGTCTCTCCCATTCTGCAATGTTCTTGTCACATTTTCGACCTCCTTTTTATTCTTCTTGGAAAGCTTCTCGAGTGTCGAGACTTTTTTAGTAGATGCTGAGACAACCTCCCATGCAACTTTTTGGTTGCTAGTTTTTGTGAGTACATATCAATTAAATTCAAATATTATTAATCGAAAGTGTAAAATATTTTTATATTATGACTGCATGTCAATTAAATTCAAATTTTATATAATAATTAGATTTATATATAAAAAAATAATAATAATAGTACCATAAATTTATTAAAAATAGCATCGTCCAATAATATCTTCCAAATCTTAAAAGTGAAGTTAGAAAAATATGATTCTGTCGTCGATGTTTATCCCCAACGATCTCATCAGCGAGATCTTCTCTCCTCTTCCCGTGAAATATATTCTCCGATTCAAATGCGTTAGCAAGTATTGCGATAACCTAGTTTTCGATCCCGATTTTATAAAATTTCATTTCACCTCTTTGGAGTTCCAAGTTGATGCACTCGGTCAAGATACGCTCGCGGTGAGTAGTGTGTACTCGGTGAAATGGCCTGCTGGTCCCCGATGTTCTCGGGAGTCGTGGGGTCTATCTTCTCTTCTTTTGTCCCTGCCGCATCAGGGAGCAATAGACTATTCGTGTTTAGAGACTTTGACACTCTCTTGAATCCGCAAGTTGCGGGCGCTATTGGCGACCTCCTTCTCCTCATATTAGATGTAGACCTGGGCCTTGTGAAGGAATCTGTCTAACTTTTGGGCCTTTCGATACCAACCGCCTTGGAGAAATCGCTGCAGGGTCGCAGCCCTTGCTCGATTAGGCATCTCTTCATACTGTCTATCGTGGATACCTAGACAGTCTCTCGATTGAATCTCTCTAAATAGTCCCAGAGAGATTCTTCCTTCCCCTAACTAATATCCTCCAGGGATGCTTCCGTCTTCGGATGTCGCCGAGAGGCAGTGAAATGTCTGGAGAACTGTCTCTTTAGCTCTTTTCAGGATGTGATGGATTCAGGTTCGAAGCTCTTGTACCATGCCATCACGCCCTTCCTAAGGGTCGTTGGGAAGAGTCTGCATTTCATGGCTGCCCGGACGTTGCAGTAGTCGAGAATTGCATCGATTCTCTCAATGTTCGTCTGGGTCAGTCATGCCATCCTAGGTGGCCAGACTCGATGGTTTCTCCATCCCGACGGGGAGGCGAGTCTCCATGATGGCTCTGGGCAGCGGAGTGCGGGGGTCGTCTTTGTCGCTTCTGGTGTGTGATTGTGACGGGGAAGAGTCGTATTGAGGGCTTCTACCGCGGCGTGGAGAGCTCCTCAGTCGACTCTTCAGTTTCCCTGTCTTCCCGTCAACTTTGCTTATCTTGGGAGCTGGGGAGCATCACTCCTTCCGGGGAGGGTTCTGGTTGCGCTTATGGGCCGCTATGGGCGGAGGCCTTTCGATCCGCGGGCGACGTCTAGGTTTCTGCGACAAGGGGCTTTGAGATTTGTCCCGTTAATGTCTCCGTGAGGGATAAATGAGACGTGTTTCTCGTCGCCTAAGGGACGGGCTGCGAGAAATTGGGCGCCTGTGTCTCCGCGGGGGAGAGTGTGATTGTCGTTCCTTTTTCAGCATCCCGATTTGTTCGCTCTATTAGAACATTATCAGGTTTGTTTTGGTAAATCGTCGCGAACAAGGCCGCCATGGTTGGGTCGGCGTTGGGCGGCACGAGAATGGGTTGGAAAACAGTTGGACTGTCGAATCATTGGACAGTATTGTCGGTCGCATCGTTGGAGGAGGGAGAGGCAGTGTACCCTTCCCTAGGGTCACCCTCCCTGGCAGGGTCATCCATGTCGGGATCATGGTCGTCGTCGTTGGTGAAGGTGGTAAAAGAAATTTCGTGGAGGTTATCGTCAACGCGTGGGCTAACCATGATCGATGGAAGTTGAGATATGCTTTGGTTCTTTGATTTCTGAGGAAGAAAGAACAGGGAAGTAAGAGTTTCCCACATACGGCGTCACTGATCTTACCGGACCAGAAAGAGATCAACAGCAAGCAACGCGTCCTGAGTTCCTAGTTCATCGGTGATGGAGAAGAGGAGATGTTGTACCTGAAAGAAACTCCGATGCCAAAATGAGAAAAAGGAAGAGTGAGAAAGTACAAAAGCAAGTGAGTTTAGAATATCTGACCCTCTTGTACAAGAGGGTAGTTATAATGTGCCCTCAGCGCTAGGACAACAGTTGTCTGTACTTGGTTGAATCTTCAAGCCCAATACGGATAACCAGTGTTTTAAAAACCGGACCGGTCATCGAACCGGTGAGGGTATTGGGTCACTGGTTTATCGGTCGAACCACTGGGTCACTGGTCGAACCGCATGACTAAACCGGATTAAACCGGATAACTCGGTTGAATAGACCTGTCATTATATAGATATAAAATCGGTCGAACCGGATGATTCAGTTTCTAAAAAAATATAACTAGTAATTAAATTTTTTGAAAATATCATATCATAAATTCACAAGTTCATAATTTAAATTCAAATTTTAAACAAATGTATCACACATAACAAAATAATACAAATTACAAAATCTAATTGCAATATAATATAATTGAATAATTTATAACAAAATAACTCTAATGTCTACGTAAAACTATTTCAAAACAATCAAAACAAATTTTTTTTTTTAATTTTTATAACTTTTGCATTTAAATTTTAATTAAAAAATAAAAAATGCATTAGAACCGGTCCGACCCTAAACTCGGTTTTTCCCAGTCCAATCCGATTTTTCCCGGTTTTCACCGGTTTGATGACACAGACGATCGAACTAGTAAATCAGACCGGTTAATAGGCCGGTTCCCGGTTCGACCGGTCCGACCGGCCGGTTCGGTCCGGTTTTTAAAACACTGCGGATAACTGTCAGGATCTACGTGGCGTAGGGAAGACCAACACGTGATCTTCGTCCTGAGTCAACTGTCCCGTGATCTTCGAAAAGTGGGTGACCTATTCTTTCGGACGCGGGTAGTTGCCTGATTACGTGTTCCCGCATGAAGAGCACGTGGAGCCCATGGAAAATACGTGTGAGCGCTCTCCAAGTAAATTGAGAGATTGAACTTTCCTGAACCCTCCCTGACGAGAAGTTGGGTCGTACAACACAGTGGGATAGCATTTGACCAAATTCAAACAATATATAATAATAAATTTATTAACAATATCATCTTCCAATACTATCTTCCGAATCTCCAAATCGAAGATAGACCAATATGGTTCCGTCGCCGATGTTTATCCCCGACGATCTCATCGGCGAGATCTTCTCCGCTCTTCCAGTAAAATCTATTCTTCGATTCAAATGCGTTAGCAAGTATTGCGATAACCTTATTTCCGATCCCGATTTTGTAAAATTTCATCTGAAGAGATCACCAACAGTAAATCCGCATTTCATACTAAAGACCGATCACACCATAAAAATCCTATGTGAGTCCCCCTATGGAAATGACGATGAATATGACGTGGATGAAGCTTTCATTCCCTACTCTGTGAGCAGTTTGATCGAGAATCCCTCTTTCTCCGTTGAAGTCGATCCTTACTACATGGTGAAAAATTACGAATACCGTTTAGTTGGTTCCTGCAATGGATTGATCTGTTTTGTTGGTGAAAATCTCACAAGCCAGTACTATGAGTTCTGGCTCCGTTTATGGAACCCAGCCACCAGAACAAAATCTTCAAACTTAGGGTTCTTAAGCTTCTTTCATAATCGTTCCGGCTCCGTTAATGATGGTTATTACAAATTCAACTTTGGTTATGATGATTCTACAGGAACTTATAAGGCAGTGGCCTTGCGCTACAATAAACGTGAACTGCGAAGTAATGTTAGAATTCTAAGTTTGGGTGAAGATGTTTGGAGAAATATTGGAAGTTTCCCTGTTGATCCTATGTATTTGAACTCAGCTTATCAAACTTCTGACGTTGGTGTGTATTTCAAAAGCACTATTAACTGGTTGGCTATTCGAAATCGTTTTTCTTATGATTCTAACAATATCAAGGATATTAGTGTTGAACAATTTGTTATTGTTTCGCTTGATTTGAGGACTGAGACATACAATCAGTACTTATTGCCTCGTGATTTTGATGAGGTGCCTCCTCTAGCTCCTATCATCAGTGTGTTGGGGGATTGTCTTTGTTTTTCTTATTGTTACAAGGAAACTGATTTTGTTATATGGAAGATGAAGAAATTTGGAGTTCAAGATTCTTGGACTCAATTCCTTAAAATTAGTTTTCACAGTCTTCAAATTGGTTATGACTATAGTGACGAAAATTTAAAGTACCATTTTGAATTGGTTCCGTTATTTCTTTCTAAGGATAGTGATACACTTGTACTTAAAAGCAGTCAAGAATACCAGGAAATTCTCTATAATTGGAGAAGTAATAGAGTAGTGCGAACAAATATTACTGCAAGAAAAGCTATTACCGATGATAGAACCATCGATTTTGTGTCATGCTCGGCCATTGGATATTTTGAAAGCTTACTTCCAGTGATTTGAGTGTAAGTTCCTCTTCCATGGTTTACATGTTTGTATTTATGTTGATCTGTATTTGTTGTTTTCACAATTATCCATTATTTAGATTGATTGTATTTTATTGAATGACTATCTTATAGCTATCAACAAATATTTGAAGTTCGAGTATTTCATAACATTGAGTGGAACCTAGATACCTGAACTTTAGAAGAAATAGATACAAGAAAAAGAATAAATCTGATATGAAATTCATAAGTAGCAACAGATCTGATGAGCATTGTCATGTGGAGTTAGCTGAATAGGACTTAATTGTATGAAATGAATTACAACATGTAATCGTGTAATCTCTTCTAGGCTCTGATATCGTGTGTGTGTCTCTAAATCAATATATTTTCTTTCTAAAAGTTATACTAATTTGATTTTTAATAGACAATCTCGATATAAAGTTAAACCGTATTGAAAACTTTGTAAGTCGCTGTTCTGCAGGCTACTTTAAATTGCATTATCTTTCACTACACTTTTTTGCCCTTCGTAAACTAGCATTTATGTAGGGTATTTGTACTTTGAAATTACTCATTCTTATTTCCTTTTTTTTAGAAGAATGATATACACTTGATAATTACCATATGGCTTCTCCTTAATATATTTTGTTAAGCATTATAACATATCGTGTGATGTAGCTGCAATTGAATTTGTTGTAGATATTATTTTTAGTTGCTTAAAGGATAAAGGACTGCATGGGGATGTTTCCATCATTCATATCAGAAGGAAGCTGAACTCTGATCTACACAACCTTTTGGTTATGGGTACAAAATATATTTCCAAGTTTCAACCACTTTAGCATCTCTTTTCAGACACTTTTGTTAGCATCAATTTTTATGACAATTTCAGAACTATGTACAGGTTTATGTTTGATTGTGTTGTCAAATTACTAACTTATACTATAAACCATGTTAATAGATAGAAACTGCTAAATAAACACAAGATAGAGGTTGTTCTTTGTTAAATTGAGTTCATGCACCTCTCCTCTTCTATAATAATGTTAACTGAGTGAATGTCAATGGAAATTGAATGAAGATTCGATTACTATATCTGTTAGGGATGCTCAAGGTTAGTTTTATCACATAACCGGTTCATATCCAATATAAAACCATTTATCTTAACCGGTTATTATAACCGATCCATATAATTGCTTTTTTTTTTATTTTATAAAACCAATTATAAACTGGTTATATTCATAACCAAAATTTATAACCAGTTATATATTTCATAACCGGTTTTAGAGTTTATATCCGACTTTCAACTTAAAACCAGATTAGATATAAAAATCCAGTTTTTAAAACTGGATATTCATTTTACAACTGGTTTTAAAGCTAAAACCGGTTTTTTGACTTAAAAATTCAGTTTTTATAAATGAATTTTACACAATATTTTTTTCTCAAATATTTCCAACATGTTCATTAAAATATAAGCTGCAATGTTAAACACATGTCGAAGTTGATATATACAATGATGTATGTAGCAAAACAAAACACAAAAGTTGAAGTTGATTTCAGCGTAATAAGCATCCTTCTCAATCCCTTCTTGTATCATAATAATACCAAAATAAGCATCCTGCACATAATATTAAAAAAAAAGATGAGTTACTACCCCAACACTCTTTAATAATGCTAGTGAGATTAAAGTTTTTCCATTAGGTAGTAGCTTCCTGCACATTTTATTCAAATCAATTTCAGATAAACACGAGAATCCTTATAGAGAGAAATATATAAATTAATGAATAGATACGATTCTTCTACTCTAACAATAGAAATTCAAATCAAGATATCAGAATTTCAAAAACATAAAAATAATCGCAGGATTTTCAATGAGTAGGATTTTCAATGAGTAGGATTTTCAATGAAATCTATGCAAATATTAGCAACAGTTAGAATTTTCACCTTCTGTTCGATCTCAGGAACCTTAAGCACCAACAAATTCACTTCTCTTTTTCTGTTATCAAGGAATCAATCAAATCAAATAATCACAAAGAACAAAGAACAAGGTGGAATCATATTATCAGAATGAAATATAGACTTTTAAAAAAAAAATACCCCATGTTGAAATTATTAATACCAAAATACCCTATTTTAAAAATAAAAATAAATGAGAGAGATGTCCTACACAAGGTACCTGCTCGTCCAATGGGTGAGCGAGCATGTGAAGGGATTTTGGACCGTGTAGGTGTTCCTCTAATGGGTGGACGAGCATGTGAAGGAGATCTTTTTATTTATTTATATATTTATTTTATTTAATAAAATCTTTAATAATTTTAATAATAAAAATTATATTATAAAATATATTAAAAATTTTAATTATAAAATATTTTCACCGTCATACGACGACCGCTCAACTGCCGAAATTCCGTGTTAATTGCTGCAACCACGGTTCTGAAATTCCACTGCGGATCTAGATAAACACTGATTTTTTTTTCTTATCCATAAAAAACAAGAGCTTGGACAGACATTTTTAAAACACGGGTCACTGGACACGAATGATATGTGCTGATGCGCAATACGTCTATTTATAAAAAAAAAGGTTACATTTGAACTCGGTCATTCAATGACCGAGACTCTGTAAAAACTTCACACCTTCATGTACGAACATCAGTCATTCTTTTTTAATACATGACAGAAAGAAAAATGATATTAATATATCATTCACATTATTTTTCTATTTAATATAACATAATATAATTAAATTAATTTAATATAACATAATATATAATTAAATTAAAAGTAATATAATTAAATATAATTAAAATTATTAATATATTTTATAATATGATTTTTATTATTAAATTTATTAAAGATTTTATTAAATAAATAAAATAAAATAAAAAAGGTCCCCTTCACATGCTCGTCCATCCATTGGACGAGCACCTACACGGCCCAAAATTCCTTCACATGCTCGTCCACCCATTGGACGAGCATGTACCTTGTGTAGGGCATCTTTGTCATTTTTTTTCTTCAAAATGGGGTATTTTGGTATTAATGATTTCAACATGGAGTATTTTGGTATTAATGATTTCAACATGGGGTATTTTTGTAAAAAAGTCTGAAATATATCATCTCTCATCTCGAAATAGCATATATTCTGATAACAATTTATATTCCAAGAGAAAGTAGATTGCAAAAAATATTCTTAAAAAAAAGGTAGCTATATGAAATAAATACCATTATTTAATCAACCTTGTTCAATTTATTACTAAATTTAACCTTACCTCGCTCAATCTTCTCAAACTCTTCAACATCATCTTGTGTGGGAAATGGTGAAGGTGATCCGTCAAGCCAATCTTCTGTGTATATAAGTGCTTCCACAAATTTAGCAATTAGGCGATTGCGATACTCATCGAGCACCCTTCCTTCGGTACTGAAGGTAGACTCAGATGCCACCATTGAGGCGCGTATAGCTAACAACTCCCTCACGATGTTAGATAGGATTGGAAGTCGACTTGAATACACCTTTCACCAATTTAAGATATTGAAGTTAGGAATATCATCTTCTAACCCATCTTTTAGGTACTTTGTTAATTCAGATTTCACTCCACTTGGTTTAACACCACTTGATTGCAAAAATACCCCATAATAATAGTCGAGATTTCTAATTCGTCCAACTAATACTGGTGGTTCTGCAGAGTCACTTTGAGATCCACCTGCCCCACCACCATTATACTCCTCAAATATGATTTTCAAATTCAGTTCTAATTTATCCTTCAAAAGATCAGCCTCTTTTTTGACAAACTTTTTTGCGACAAACCAACGAGCATACACCATTTTCTTCCTAAGATCTAAGACAAAAGAAATTAACAACGACATGTTCAATTTGTCAGGACTTCCCCAAAACTTATCATATTTCTCCTTCATTTTTAAAGCTATATTTTTTGTATGAGTTAAAGATAGATCCTTAGACGAACACATGTCTTTTATAGCCAAACCAATTGAAAATACCTCTGCCAAGTACATATTACTTGTCACATGTTGAACCCGATATGCGCAAAGTGGTAGCCTTAAAAACTTTCAAAAATTGAGCGACCTCACGTGTTTTCTCCCAATATAAAGGAGTAGGAATGTCACTCCCACTCTCGAGTTCTTGACAATATTTTGTATCAATAATACCAAGCTCAACAAATGCCATTTCAAGTTGTAGAGTGTGAGATGTTGGATCGAACTTTCGTATGGTCGAAGTCTGTTCGCGAGTAATGCATGTTGTAGTCAAAGTCTGTTCTAACATGTATTAGTCAATATTGCTAGGGTTGTTAGCATGTTGAATTGAGTCTTTCTTGTAAGCCCAGTTGTTTAAGTTAGCTTGTACCCTAAGTTAGCTTGTAATGGGTAACTGTTAAAAAACCCATTAGGTTAGTGTGTTATTTTATTATAAATAGGATGCTAGTTTCTCAATCTTGGCATAAGGAAAAATAGGAAGATAAAATCCTAATTTCAAGAGAGAGAGGTTATTTTTTTATTCTTGTATACTTGTAATCTTGTTCTAAGAGAAAGGAAAGAATAATAGTTTAATAACCAATCCTTGTTGTTTTCTTCTTTATTAACCCTAACCCTTGTGTGTTTTTTGCTAAGAAACCATTTATACTTTGTTTAAAGGTATCTGATTCACAACAAATTGGTGCGGTGAGCGTGGAGAAGATTCCTTCAACAAAGTATGAGATTGAAAAATTCACCGGAGTGAACGAATTCGGTCTGTGGCGCTTGAAGATGAAAGCCCTATTGGTTCAATAGGGTTGTTTGGAAGCGTTGAAGGGTGAGGCAGCCATGGACGCTGCGTTAACGGCAAAAGAAAAGACGGGAATGATCGAGAAAGCCCACAACGCAATATTGTTGAGCCTTGGTGATAAGGTTCTTCGACAGGTATCAAAGGAGACTACAACATCAGGATTATGGGTGAAACTTGAAAGTTTGTACATGACCAAATCTCTGGTGAATCGATTCTACCTGAAGCAAGCTTTATATTCATTCAAGATGAGTGAA